CACATGACATTAACACAAATTTTACTGGTATGCATGCATGCAAACAGGAATAGCAGGGCTACTAAATTCCTTGAAAGTTTCTTTATGCCGGCCGGTTGTTCTCATTTCGCAAGTCCGCCAATGGTCTTTCTTTTCAAAGATTCTTGGGTGTAAAATTTTGAAAGACAAAACCTAGATGCGGTACCATACTCCCATATTTCAGCAGCTTTATTGAATGGCCTTTGAGTTGTAGACTAACCCACATAGACTGCCTCTGTTGCAAAAATACATGTAGCTCAATAGACATACGTCCCTCAATACCTCGAGCACACCACCGGCAGCCGGCAACGGACTGACTGGGACGACATCTGTCTGGACCTGCTGGCCGCTGATTGGGGAGCTGCACGATACCAATGATATGAATGCAAGAGAGAAAATCATCCATAAAGAAGGAAAGGTGCTACGGCTCGTCACTGCCTCGTACACAACAGGTCGCGCGAGACGCCCCAGCTGTCCTAGGCGGCTGCGTGATCACCCGCATCTCTAGACCCTGATGGCCGAGCGAGGGGCGGCGAGGGATGCCTGGCTGGCTCTGCGCGCCCCAGAGTATTGTTCGGACTTCACGCGACTTCGAACAGCGTGAAGTGTGCCATGATAGGTGCCAGACGCGATTCTCTCTGAGGTGTGGTGACTTCTGGTGGCCAGCGCAATTATTATGTCTACCTTGAATGGATTCGCCATGACGTCACCAATAATCCGGGACGATACGTGAGGAGGAAACTCTGACCTGGCTGACGAATTCAACCGTCACTTTGCGACGGTTGGGGTCCGAATAGCTGTCACGGTGAGGGACAGCACGCGGCAGTCCCCCGGACCGCCGAGGTCTGCGCGACCTAATGCACTTTCAAGTTCATAGCTTTCCCTGAACTATCCTCGTAGATCCGACGCGTGAGCAGTTCGGGAGCGGTAGGTGTCGTAATCATTCGCGGATCACCGATGGTAGTGATTTGCGGACCATATGCAGATCATCAATTGCTCACTTGCGACTCAGGTCTTACCGACGAGTGGAAAATCGCGGACAGTGTGCTCATCCTGGAACCAGGTGATTCGACTGTATGAGTTAACTACAAATCCACGTCTCTCATAAATGTACTATACAAAAGTCATGAAAAAGTCCTTTGTGACCATTTCAGCTCGCATTGTCATTGCAGTGGTATTCTCAGCCATGCCTAATACGCCTACGGAAAAGGTTGCGGCACTGGGGACACTGTGCTCAACGTTATCGCCGAGCTAGTGAGGTACATCGATAGCGAAGAAATATTGCTCATAACAGCCGTCGACCTGTCGAAAGCCTCTGACAGTGTTGATTATGATCTGCTGAAAACAAAGCTTTAGGGGCACGGCGTGGACCCTGACTAGTTGAGAGCTATTTGAGTGGTCGGAGGCAGGTGGTGCGTGGAGGACCGATGGCCTTACGGAAGCCAACGGAGTGCCCCAGGGATTCGTAGTCGGTCTGTTCTTGTTTACCTAGTTCACAAATGACTTGTACAGTCACGTGTCACATGACCGGCTCATCTCATATGCAGATGACAGCCAGCTCTTGGACCATGCTCTTCAAACAAGCTCCATGCTCTCCAATAAGCTGACTCTCCGTGCACTACAAAGCCGCCCGGATTGTCAATTTGCCAACTGCCAGGCCTCGTCAGCGCAAAATCTCCTAAAATGAGCAAAGAAATGCACCTATGTTCTCAAATATTTTAAACACAATTGAAAGAAAAGCTGTGATTTCCACTTAACATGGAAGATGGAGACTGTCACACTTTCACAGCACATAACATTTATCGGTGTGATCGTGGACTCAACGCTTTCGTGGGATACGAACGTCGCCAGAGTCGCGCAAGAATGCAACGAGAATCTAGCCTTGTTGTACCGCCTCGTACATTACGTTACACCTAATGTTCTCAAGATTATCGTCTTGCCGCATATAACATGCTGTCCCAAGTTACATATGTAGAAAATTCAAAATTTATGAGTTTTGCCACCAGGATTGTCTTTGGCAACAGACGTGGCCAACACATGCCACCGTATCGAGAATCTCTAGGCTGACCCCGGATTCACTTTATACCCGATGTTCCACTGCGTACTGAACTTGATGGAGGGAACAGACGTGCTCAAACTGTTTAAAGCGTTCAGATACGAGAAATGACCACCTGGTGCTCCATCCCTGTTCAGCCCCCTGTCCCTTTAGGGGAGATGCGGCCCTCCATGGCGATGTCTCTTTACCTGCCTAGCTGCCGACTGGAGGTCATCAACCGGGCCTCTCCTTGTCATGCCGGGGCAACTCGAACCACCTGCCTCCGATAACCGCTACATGTGCACAAGGGTCAAGAGCCCGTGCTAGAGAGCTGAGCTACTGTACGCTCGTGTAGGTGCAGTTCTGTATGTCAATGTGGTCCCCATGCACTTGCACTTTGTATTCATTTATTTATGTGCATGCGCTTGACCACTTTCTTTTGTTTCAAATTTGGTTATCGTCGTTCTAGGTTTATTGTTTCCACATCGTGCGTATTTAAATACAATCACACCATGGTGTTGTCCCGGACCGAAAGTTCCGGACGTTGTAAAGAACCAGAGACTGAAGTCACCCCGTGGATGGACTGTGAGAAAATGCAATACAGCCAAAAACAGCTGAGTTAATTGTTCTTACCCGCCCATTCTTCATTGTAGTATTGTATTAACTTGCAATAAGTGTACGCTCCTCATACGCCTTCCGCCCATATGCTTAAACTCTAGGGTTGTTTTTAGCGTGGGATTGGGAACGTCAGTTACAGTTTAGGTGTTTGCTGTGCAATGTTTCTTAACGCCTGGTCGATTTCTGTAATGACATCACGTCGAAGGTAACACTATAGATCCGACTTCGTGTAAACGGTGTCGCGCCCACGTACGCTCACTAACATAAAACGGCAGACTTAAAAGGAATGTTTCACATTTAAAGATATCCAGGCAAGCATCAGATATGATGGAAACAGCTAACTTATAACTATTGGTATATTTTAAGTAGAGAACACTGCTCTAGACAACACAGTTTCTCTGTTTAGTAAATATGCTTTCGAAACGTCATCGTTTGATGACGTCATCGTACCTTTCACAACATTGATTGAGAGCCAATTGACGGCTAGTTATTCACGACTAGTATGTCTGGAATTCAAGCTCACGAACGCCAAATATGAGCGACTTGACGATTATATGTTTCTTGGCCTTGATCATCACCCGTCTTATGGAATGACATGACATGAATAACGTTATTGTCACGTCATGAATGCCAGTGTGACTTTGTAAGATACTCCCTCCGATATAACTTTCCTCATTTTCGCGAGCGTGTAGCACAGAAACTAGAGGGGCTTAGGTCTTAAGAAGGGCAGGATTGTGAACAGCACTGAAAGTTCTTCAATATCGCCAATTAATTTCAAAGCCTCATATAAATATGGAACATTTCCTTTAACCAGTTTCGAGCGACGTTCATGGTCTGCTACCTCACACCGAAAACTGGCATTCCTATCTCACACCGCTTCTGACATCCCACACGATATGCAAGAGGACTGACCACTCCATATATTGCGCTTGACAGCGTATAGCCACTCGCACTTGTGACAACATGCGTGTGCTAGCACGACTGCATGTTTTTATCTCAGTAGAGCTGTTTTGGTCCCGTGTATCTACGGGGCCCGGCTGCCGAATGCCCATCCAACCGCCTGAATGTCCACCGCTCGGGGAGCTGCTTGCAGAAATACGCCACTTCAATGCCAACGCAAGGTCAGCGGCAGAACACTGTGCTGGCGAGGCCTTTTGCGCTGATGAAATTAGTCTGAAGCGATTGATGCTTCAGGTAATTGTGGATCAAGGTCTCCGAAATACGCAAATATTTTGGGTACATTCTGTACTTGGGTGAATTGGGCCTGCGTTATCTGCATTGCCCCAGCTTACTCGGTTTGACGCGAACGTGCTGTATTCAAGACGGCTCACAAAGCCGAGTCGATTTCACGCCGTTACCGAACCGGGCCGCTGAGACCCGACGTCAGTTTTGAAGAGCGCCCCAAAAACGCCGGGTCGGTTCGTTTGCACAAGTGCGCATACATCGCACACATCCATTTGCGCTTTCGCCAGTCCGACTACCGTTTTTATCCAAGTCGAAACGAGCCAATGCCGACATTGGTACTCCAACTTACAGCGCCAGATGCGACGCGTACTGATTGCATAACAATCGCGTTAGTATGGTTAGAACTCCGTGACCTGTACATACGTAGCACCATTAAAGGGAAACACATAATAGCTCGCCACGACATCGTAAGCACATAATATAGTTCATCATAAAATGAGTGCTAGATAGGTGTTCTTTGCCTATGCCAGTAATCAATCACGGGAAGTAAATGGCGCAACCCTAAACCACTTACAGAAGGGAGAAGGACGACACATGGCTATGACAAGTTACACCAGGAAACTACTCCTTACGAAGCGTGTACAAAATCGTAGAGTTGATACTCCCTAACTGGCATCTGCGTATGCTCTAAGCCAAGGCAAAGTCAAGATGTTAACTATATCATCTGGAGAAGCTTCCATCCAAAATGGATCAGAAAAGACCGCGCAGATGGTTGAGTTGATCAGGGGACTCGCCTTCTGATTCTAAAGCGGGGTGTGTTCAAGCCCCCTCAGACGATAACTTTTTACCATTGACTGGAATCGCCTGCGGCCGGTGGCAGCGGCCCTGCTCATGGTCGTGCCCGTGGCTGGGTGACGTCAGAGGGCAGGACGGGCCGGGCCGAGCGTTGTGGTACGGTACGCTTTCTTTGCAAAATTCTGTCGTTGACCTGTATTTGGTTTTCGGTGGTGGGGTCATGGCTCACGCAACAAGCACCGCTTAGCATGAACACTGATCCCAGAAATATACGCGATCAGAATGCTTGGACTGTATCATAAGAAGGCATACAATGGTTGAATCACGCCTATGTCGTAGGCGGTCTCACCAGCAGTTGCGGGCTGTACTTGTGGTGCGGGAAGTGCTGTCGCACAAACTCCTTGCCCAACAGGCTGAAGAGCGCCTGCTGCTTGGCCTCCGAGCTGAGCTGACCCCTCACACGGGAGGCCAGCGTCCGGTTCACCCTTTCCATGACCTGCAGGGCAGAGGAGGCGCACGCCCGGGTCAGGCCCTCCGCTGCCACTCGGGCCACGCGTCAGGAGCGTCGATGCGTTTAACACATGCAGCGGAAGGCCTCCGGAAATTGTGCGCGGTGGAGGGAGAGGGGGGAGGGGGGGGCAGATCACACCGCCCCGCTATCTCAAGAACCGTCAGAAAACGCATGATGAAACTTCCAGTGGTTGGGTACTACAGGAAAAATACGTTTTGCTTAAAGCTGGTGACCCCAAGCCAACATTTTCGCGGTGAAACGGATCGGGCGCCACCCGATTCCAGAGTGGGACAGATAGTTGGCCAATTGGCTGACCGGCCGTGCGGGAGGGCGGCCGGGCGCAATAGAGTTTCTGAAGCAACAGCTGAAGTGCGTCAACGGTGTAATGGATGAAAAATACAAACGTTCTGCTTCACAAGTGCAAAATGCACCAATTGTCGCTGTGTGTAGGAGCAATTTAGCAAAATGGCATGATTCACCTATCAGTATTCGTGTTCGTGACAAACGTGGGGTTGACCAAGATTGGTCCTATTGAGCTATTGTGAACTCGACTTGAACGGACCTCTGTGACCCAGCATAACCTTTGCATTATAAAGCACAACAGCATGCACAAAAATGTCGCCGTGTGGTCAGTAAAAATCCATTGCTGCAGACGTACCGGGAATACATTAGCGTTTATTCTCACGCTTGGACGCTGGCTGCGCTAATGAATTTTCAGCGTGTAACTTCGCAATTTGCCGGTAGATTTTTTCCATTACTTTTAACAACGCGCTAGGGTTTCATTTGCAGGTAGACGAAAAGTGTACAGATTTGTCCACACACTCCGGAGACCATCCAAATTTGGCCATTCCATAAGCCATACGGCGATCAAGGCCAAGAAAAAACATAATTGTCGAGACGTTTATATGTAGCGTTCATGAGCACGATTTACAATTATAAAGGGCGTTAATTGGCTCTCAATCAATGTTGTGCGGGGTACGATGACGCAATCAAACCATGATGCATTGAGGAGCATGTTTACTAAATGGAGAATTGTGCTGTCTAAAACCGCTTTCTACTGAAATAGAAGCGTGCCCATGTTATAAGTGAGATTGTTCCATCATACCTGGTGCTGCTTGAATAAATTCAAATATGAAAGATTCCCTTTAATCGATACCTGCTTTACTGTTACGTGACTCGCTTCGGGTGGTAAAATGCAGCGCGACATCTTGTTGCAAAAAAAGACAGAAAATGATACCTGCTTTAACCAAGACATTTCCGGGGTTCCACAGCAATCCACACATTTAGTGATTGATAAAATCTGCCTCGAATGCCAACTCCTTTGCGTGAAACCGCCACTCTTCTCTGCGAATGTGGGCCCATCAAGACTGTCAAGCACAGGCCAACGGAAACTGCGCAGTCCCTGTCGACCGGTCGCTTGGCGCGAAGCGCACCGGCCGTCGACTTGCCCACAATACATGCCTGCTCTGCCAGGAAACCGGTGGGCATACAGATAGCGATCGCAAATGGACCCGCGTACATATCAGTAATCGCCAAGACCGCATGCAATTGTGTTTGCTTTTCGTAAATAGCGGATGACAGCATGTTCCGTGGTATGGTGACGGCAGAAAACTCGTTTGCATAGGAATTCAATTGGATGGGTTCCACGGCTGACTCAGAGAACGAGGATGCTCTTACAAAACCAGCTAAATGGGGCCATTGACCCCTCTGCAAAAAAAATGCGGCCTTTTTAGGCCGTTTTTTTCGGGCACATATAATTACAAACGGACAACACTGACAGCATGATGCGAAAAGTTGAACAGTCAGTCGGGCATAGACATATGAAACAGCAAGTGTAATGTGTTACAAACAAGACGTTGCTGTAAGATCAATACTAAAAATACATTATTAATTGCTGATTAGGACAACGCTCCTGAGAGTACGGTGCTCAACTGACAGTGAGCCTCGCAAAAAGAGTTTGATAATTTGCATCGTTTGTTTATTTTATGTTATTACTATACAATTGCTTATGTTTGTGTTTTTGTTTTATGTTGTTTATAAAAGTCTCTACATCATAATACCTTTTGTTGTCTTATTACACCGAAAGCGTTATCAGGCAAAAAAGGAAAATGTCCCCGATTTGGCTTCATGATTTGAGCCTCCATCTTCAGTGCATCCACTGCGTTCCGCCACACGTGTTATATGGTGCATATGTATGCTATCAATTCGTGCGATGTAATCCTCTGCATCAAATACAGAGGCAAGAACCAAGTAATGCCAACAACGTTGTTTACATCCAGTGGTTGTGGGAGAAAACATGGTTTGAATGATTTCGTAGCATTCCTTAAATAGACAAGTCTTCATCATTGAAGACACGTGGCACGATACTTCGTCGTTAGTGTCCAAGTTTTTTCTCATTTTTCACAGCGTATAGCGTAAGACTGGGATACAATTACATGACGGTGACTTGCGTCTTGAAAAGGCGATCCAACCATTGGAAGAGTTGGTGGCATTCAACATATTTGCTATTCGACACTCCTGCAACATGACAAAGCCAGTCCACCCCTGCCAATTAATATTAATTTGATGATCCTCTGCGTAATCCCTGACAACACCGAATTTTGCATCTCATTTCAGCCAAACATGTTTCCATGGCCGCTCGGCAAAATGCCTCAGGGATGGGTAAATGTTCTCCGATGTTTTTAGACCACAAGTTCTGTGATTCATTTTACACATGAAAGGCAAAAGCTGCTTATTCGCAAAGTCTGCATCTCAACTAAAATAAATCACAACAATCGACATATTGCCACTTTTGGGTCTTACCTGACACTGCAACTACCCGTCACTGCAACGTTGGCAAGAACGCTGTCATGATAAAGTACCGCTACTAGGTGGTCGCCACTCATAAGACTTATTCTACGACCAGAGATCTACAAAGTCATCACAGCTAATAAAACGCAACTTTCTACCCATTGGATTCAAGAGCGATTCCTCGAATAGCTCATTCTAATCAGCCGGAGACTGTGCCTCGATCTAAAGTGTTTGAGGAACCATGCTTTGCCAGGCATCGGTACAAACTCGCCCCCGCAAGAACTTGCCTAAAATTGTTGTCTCAATGACAAGTATATATATATATATATATATATATATATATATATATATATATATATATATATATATATATACTATGCCATCTTTGTATGCTGCTGTAGCGTTGCATGCAGTTGGTGGAGTTTTTGAAGAAGTCGGTAGGACTCTGCAAACGTACGATCGTGACAACCACCAGATTCGCCTCTCAGCCACCACGTCATGAGGTCCTTCTCCCGAAGCATGGTAATGTAGCAATCATTGATCGGCAAGTGATCACAGCCCCTGCACTGTAATGGATCATGAATGACCGCAATGAATCCGTATCAGAGCCATTGCCCCGCGTCTTCTGTCAATCCCATCCCTCTCAGCGGCCTACCACCGGCTCCACAACCGACCATGGTGTCACCCACCACCGTCGTGGAATATTGCGGTGTATGGTTGTTACCGATGTGTAATATTCTGGTGTTTGTTACCGATATGTAAAATTCCGGTGTTTGTTACCGATGTGAAATATTCAGGTGTTTGCTTGTTACCGATGTGTAACATTCCGGTGTGTATTTGTTACCGATGTCTATTATTCCGATGTTTGTTACCACTGTGTAATATTCCGGTGTTCGTTACCAATGTGTAATATCAAGGTATTTGCTTGTTACGGACATGTAATATTACGGTGTTTGTTTGTTACCGATGTCTTTTATTCCAGTGTCTTTTACCTACGTGTAATATTCTGGCGTTTGTTTGTTACCGATGTGTTATGTCCCGGCGTCTCAAAACTGAATTGATACCCCGACCCCTGTGCGGTTTGTCTGGAATAAGATGCTCGTGAAAAGACTTCTCGACCACTGTCCTAGGTATAGTTTCGTTGGTCGTCAGACCGGCGGGTGAAACCCAGGAAGCTGAAGCAGGTCCAGGAGCTGTGAGGACCATCACTGACAGATCGGCAGGTGAAAGACAGGAAGGAGATTGCGCGCACCGTCAGTCTGGTTGCACTGCGTACTTGCCTCGTTCAGCTTTCTGAGCGGCGCGACCAATGACCACCGGTTTCAAGACGCCCGCCTTGCTGCAGCGCACAACTGGTTTCCCTCCCCGTGCCGGCCCGGTGAGCTAGCGTCCGCGCGTCCTAGGCCCGTCTCATCCGGCCCGCAGCGCCCGGCCGAGGCGGTCCTCGAGCGGCGGCGCGGCTCGAGCCGGGCGAGAACCGGGCGCGAGCGGCCAGTGAGGCGAGGCGAGGCGGCGATCGGGCGACGCGAGGCGCGAGCGAGGCGGCACGATGGGCGGCTCGCCGATCTGGGAAGAGCTCGAGACGCTGGAGCTGCTCGACATATGGCGCCAGGCGCATATGCAGATGGCGCTGCGGAGTAATGTGCGCAATCGCTGGATCTGGGAGCACGTGGCCGACCAACTGTGGCACCGCGGGTTCGTACGAAGTGGCGAGCAGTGTAAGAACAAGGTGCACAACCTGCTGTGCGTGTACCGCAACGTGTGCCGCGGCCGCCTGCCGCGCTGGAAGTGTCGCTACTTTGAGCTGCTACACCGGGTGATCACCACCGAGGATCTGAGTGAGCTGCAACACGCCGCCAGCGATGTGCCGGGAGGTAAGGCGGTTGCGAGGCTCTCCCCTACTCTGGACAAGCTGGACACAGTTGAGAAGACAGCGGAACGCCTCCCACAGCGGCCGGCGAGCCGACAGCGTCAGGTAGTGGCACCCAAGACGGTCGGGCGGCGAGTGGAATCTGCGGAACTGAGCCACTCGCCTGCCACGCCGAAGCCGCCGGCGGCGCGAGACCGCTCGCGGCGCGGCCCGCCTGCCCTCGTACCGATTCTCTTCCGACCAACCCCGGCCGACGGCGTCGAGTGGAACAGGGTGCCTGGCCTGCCGCTGCCGGGCGGCGACGTGGGCCAGGCGGTGACGATGC